CCAGTGACTATTTCGATGACCCTTAGAAAATCCAAATCCAGCTCTCTGTTCTTGTGTTGGGACACAGCCACAGCGGGGGCAGCTTACTAAAAAGCGTGACTGCCCTGGCAAATTCAGGACAGTTGGCAAAAATGTTTATGTGATGAAAATATCCATGACAGAAATAGTATATAGGCAGAATGAAAGAAGAATTAAAAATTCATATAGAAGAACATTTCAGAAGATTCTGCAGGGATAGAAGCATCTTCTACAGTGAGTTTTACAACAAAAACTTTAAAGGTACAAGTTTTGGGGGAATAGAAGTTGTGAAACGTGACTTATGTGGAGGAAATGTTATTAAGAAAATGTTCAGAAGTAAATCTAAATAGATTTTTTTAATTAAATAGAATTGTTTCTGCGGGGTTATATATGGGTATCAAGCTGTTTGCATTTGATTGATTTTTTATTTGATTACTCTACTTTACGGTGCATTATTTTAGATCAATTTAATAAAGTTGTTTTTATTCATTTTTCTATTCCTTTAATTATTTTCAAGAATATTATCTCTTGATGTATGAATTTATTGGATAGTGATGTTTTTAGCAAATGTATTTAGGATGATAATTCAGTGGGAGAGTGCTTTTAATAGGATGCTCTTCTTGTATCCAGCCTTTCCTTGACAAAGGCTGGTGTTCCCAATTGAAATGCATCAGCAGTGAATTCACCAGCAGAGGAGAACTAACGTTTTTATTTTCCATCTTGGCAGTATTGCTTTATGCTGCAGACTATCAGTGTGTCGGGGTCCTGGTGGGTTTTTTCTTTTTAGCTCTCCTCCCTCTTTCCCAGAATATCTGTTTAACTGCTGCCACTTTTGAGGACTACAAGTCGCACAGTGAACCCAGCAGGTTTTGCTTTAGTGACTGACGTCTTTAGGCCTCATTCACAAGTGCGTTTTGGAGACAACTACAATTTCCTACAGGAGACTTGGGAAAGTGGGGTTTCCAGCAAACAGCTTGTGTCTAGGGTCAACCATCCACAGCTAATCCCTACATATCTGATTACATGCGATTGGTCACGAATGGCTGAGGGCACTGTCAGCTGCTTATTACCTTGTATAGAGCTTCCTGGCTGTAGCTGTTGATTCTCTCGCAGGGAATCATAGTCGGCCTTTAAACACATGTGTGATGAGTCCTTATGGAGATCATAGGTAAGTCACCTGCATCTGACAGGAGCACATAGACACCTGTGAATCATCACTTGTTATTTCATTACAAGATACATTGTTTAATTTGCAGCTCTGACCAACAGATATACTGCAAAGTATATTTTGGATGGAGATGAAAGTTTTGGGAAATATTAGGAAATGTTTTTTATCACAGCCCTAACCCCCTATCAGAAGTGGCCCCTGGCCTTTCAGACCTCAGTTTGGAAGTCAATAGGCATTGCAGAGTCTAGAGAAGTCCTAGGTGTTTCCTCAACTCTGATGTGTCATATGACACAGCTGAGGGGAGACCTGAGATTTCTTTCACTCTGATGGGTGCTGCTGCATCTGAGGTCTAGTAAGGGTATTTTACAGAGGGAGGGGGAAATTTGTGCTTTGAGCAATTGTAGATTAAAGGAGTAGATACTTGTACCGGAAGGGGGTATTTTTACTTCTGTGGTGGAAAATGTGTGCTAATTACTCCTGACCTCTGCACTGTTTGCTGCCTATTACTGTTCACTACGTACTACTGACCTCTGCACTGCACTGTTTGTTACATACTACTGACCCTTGAACTTGGCATTAAATACTACTGACCCTCACACTATGCGTTGCTCATAAGATCTGCAATGTGTACTACATATTACTGAACTCTGCATTACTTACCACTGACCCCTGCATTCTGTGGTACCCACTCCTGACCTGTAAACTCTTCCTTACATACTACTGATCACACTCTGAATTACTTACTGCCGACCCCTTCACTATGTGTTACATACTGTTGAGTTCTGCACTCTGGTTTATATAATACGGACCAATGCAAACTTTATACCTTACTGCATCTGCATCCTAGTACATGCATCATTCTAGTGATCCTTGCTCCCTACCATGTTGTTCAGGTAGATCTCAACCTCTCCAGGGTTGCCTACCTATGCATTTAAGGTATTTATAAAACACTTCCATGTGTTGAAAAAGCATTTGGTGATAACCCCTTTCATACTTACCAAGATTGTAAGCTCAGTCCAGGGGCTCAGTTAACACTGCCCACAGTTTAACTCAGGCCCATCTAGACCCACCCACTTACCAGAGTGACCAGCCCAAACCCCATTACTAATTATGCAATGATTAACTACCCACAGCCCATGGTCACCATAATGAATGCCCTAACGCAGTGGTCGGCAAGCCGCGGCTCGCGAGCCACATGCGGCTCTTTACAAACTTAAATGTGGCTCTTCTGTGTGCCGGGCGCCCGCTCCCCTCCCTCCTCTCGGGCGGCCGCCCCCCTCCCTCCTCTCGGGCGGCCGCCCCAAAAGTCAGGACAATGCAGCTGTCAGGATGTAGGCGGGGCAGCCAGGATGTAGGCGGGGCAGTGTGACGAACTCCTCTCTCCAGTCCGCCCTGAAGACCAGAACGGCGCGGGAACACGGCGAGAGGAACGCGCGGAGCAAAGGTAAGTGAATTGACACAGGGGGGACTTACTATATGGGGGATGAATTACTATATGGGGGACTTACTATATGGGGGACGAATTACTATATGGGGGGGAATTACGAATTACTATATGGGGGGGACGAATTACTATATGGGGGATGAATTACTATGGGGGATGGGAGATGTATTTTCAGTTTTAAAAATGTGGCTCTCAAAATAAATTTCAATCGTGGTTTTGGCGAGATTTTGCTCAGTTGAAAAAAAAGGTTGCCCACCACTGCCCTAACGGGTTACACCAGTGGTCGGCAAGCCGCGGCTCGTGAGCCACATGCGGCTCTTTACAAACTTAAATGCGGCTCTTCTGTGTGCCGGGCGCCCGCTCCCCTCCCTCCTCTCGGGCGGCCGCCCCCTTCCCTCCTCTCAGGCGGCCGCCCCCCTCCCTCCTCTCAGGCGGCTGCCCCAAAAGTCAGGACAATGCAGCTGTCAGGATGTAGGCGGGGCAGCCAGGATGTAGGCAGGGCAGTGTGACAAACTCCTCTCCTCTCACAGTCCGCCCTGAAGACCAGAACGGCGCGGGAACACGGCGAGAGGAACGCGCGGAGCAAAGGTAAGTGAATTGACACAGGGGGGACTTACTATATGGGGGATGAATTACTATATGGGGGACGAATTACTATATGGGGGACGAATTACTATATGGGGGACGAATTACTATATGGGGGACTGAATTACTATATGGGGGATGAATTACTATATGGGGATGAATTACTATATGGGGGATGAATTACTATATGGGGGATGAATTACTATGGGGGATGAATTACTATGGGGGGATGAATTACTATATGGGAGATGTATTTTCAGTTTTAAAAATGTGGCTCTCAAAATAAATTTCAATCGTGGTTTTGGCGAGATTTGGCTCAGTTGAAAAAAAAGGTTGCCCACCACTGGGTTACACTCATGTGCACATGCACAGCTCAAATAAGTGTGACACAGCATCATCGGGACTATGGTCCAAAACGCAGACTGTCCTGACAAATCAAGGACAGTTGGGATCTATGCTCTTTAATAAATAATGTTTCTATCCCTTCCATCTTAGAGAGGGCTTGGAGTTTTTCTAAAATTTGTCCTAGAGCGAGAAGGGTCTTCCACTCAGCAAGCCCAAATATTACCCAGCTAAGGATGAAGGGAAGGACATTTAAAATGTGTGCTTTAATGTTTTGAACCCCATAAGTCCAAAAATGTTTTTTTCAGGGACAGTCTCAGAAATTGTGGTACAGACCAGTATGTTCTTTCTGACATTTGAGACACTTATATTAGTGAGATGAACCAAATTGATGGGGTTTAAGGGGATATATGGGCTCTGTGGAAGAGCCAGAAAAATATTTCTCTGTACTGTGTGGATATTAGTTTTGCCACATGTATGGAGTTACTAAAGGCAAATAGGCATTTCACTTTGCAAGGGAATTTTTCCTTAGCTTAGGTAAAGCAGTTATAAAGGCATTTTATAATATATACTGCACACTTATTGGGAATTTTTGTTTTACCAAAGACATGTAGCAGAATACATGTTGGCCTAAATTTTTGAAGAAATCTAATTTTATTGGATATGTTTTATAACATAGTAGAAAATGTAGTTTTTTTTTTCAAACTGTTCCATCTTTTTTCATATATTTAGCAAAAAACCCCCCCAAAAAACAGTAGTGATCAAATACTACCAAAATAACGCTATTTGTGTGGAAAAAAAAAAAAATTTAATTTGCATACAGTTTGGCATGACTGAGCAATTGCCAGTTAAAGTAGCACAATTCTGAAAAGCAAAAAAATGGACTGGTCATGTAAGGGGTAAAATCTTGCGGAGGTCAAGTGGTTGAATATGTGCAAAATCCTACATAATTTGTACCTGTTTAGCTGAGCCATCTGTCCTGTCCTGTCCAGCTTTCTCCACCACACGGATGAAAGGATTTTTCTCAGCAGCAGAAAGTAGGGGGCAGGGATCTGATGTCACATACACTAAGGAGCTGGAGCACGATGTTAAGCGTAATCCGATAGCTGATTGGAGGAAAGTGACACATCCCCTTCTTCACGGGTTCGGAGAAATATAGAGCTGTGTAAGTGAATGATGCAGATAGCAGAGAGGAGAGATCAGAGAGGAGCCAGATTCAGTGCCTTGGATTCAGGCTAACACAGACTATAGTGGGATGTGCTTTGTTCATTTTCATGGTTTACAACCACTTTAAACTGCTGGCTTTTTTGCATGTTTCCTTTACTTACAACAGCAAACCCTTTAAACTTACTGTTTTTCTGTTAAAAAAAGCTGACCAGTTATACTGTATTTATGTCAATATTGTAATTTCACAAGATTAATATAAAACTTTGTTTTCATTAGTGTTACTATTTAGGGGCCACGAGTGATGCAGCTACAAAAATTCTAAGTGAAGTTACTCGTCCTATGAGTGCTCATGTGCCAGTATCCAAAATCTGTGAGAAACTGAAGAAGATAGACATTCAGATCTGTGAGCTGAAATATGGTATGTGTTGGATAAGTATAGTCATTATTGCTGTATAACCTATTATGTCATATCATAAGGTCATTTAGATTAAGGTGACCAGATTTTCAAAGTGAAATCGGGGGACACCCTACTGACTACATCCACTTTTATTGTGGATGGGACAGAGGGGAACAGTGGGTGAGGAAAATAACAGCATGCAAACCACACTGCACCAAATGTTGAGTGCAGGAGTGGACTGACAACTCATGGGGCCCCTGTGTCAATAGGCAATAGGGGATCATGGGGCCCCTGTGTCCTTGCCCAAACTCAAAAAAGCCTATGAAAAAGATACCAGGGGCATCTCATGGGGCCCCCTACTGATCCCGGGCCCTCGGGCAGTGCCCGAGTTTCCAAATGGTTAGTCCAGTACAGCAATCTCACAAAGTGCCATGGGTGTTTACTGCTATTGATTTCTTTCACACTCCTTCCTTCCCCCACAATGAACCACTTCCCAATCACCCTATAGCAGAAATACTGCTACAGGGCGGAAGGGCTGCGTGAAATCACGCATATGTACGTGATTTGCATTTCCGGGTAGGGGGTGTGCGTGCGCCACCCTATTCGCACCACCACCATTGTCGCCTAGGTCCCAAGAAATACACAGCAGTATGTTTCCCTAGTAAAACACAGTTAACCCTTTGATTGCACCAGATGTCAACCCCTTCCTACCCAGTTCATTAGTATAGTGTCAGTGCAGTTTATTAGCACTGATCACTGTAATAGTGTCACTGGGGATGTCAGTGTCAGTTAGTCAGTTCCCACCCAGTGTCAGAATGCCCGCCGCAGTCCCGCAGTCCTACTATAAGTCGCTAATCGCCACCATTACTGTTATTAAAAAAAAATTCCAGTATATATACAACGCCATTTGTAGATGCTATAACTTTCACATAAACCAATTAATTTACATGTATTGGGATTTTTTTTTAGAAAAGACATGTAGCAGAATACATTTTGGCCTAAATTTATGACAAAATTTGATTTAAAATTTTTTTTACTGGATATATTTTATAGCAAAAAGTCAAAAATATATATTTTTTTTAAATTGTCAAATTTTTTATTGTCTATTGCGCAACAAATAAAAAACGCACAGGCAATCAAATACCACTGAAAGAAAGCTCTATCTGTGGGAAAAAAAGGACATAAATATCATTTGGGTGCAGCATTGCATGACCACACAATTGTCAGTTAAAGTAACGCAGTGCTGTAACGCAAAAAATGGCTTAGTTAGGAAGGGGGGTAAATCCTGTGGAGGTCAATTGGTTAAACACTGCGCATGGGGCAGCTGTTTCTCCTGGATGCCCACACATCTTCTTGTCCTGGCTCTGAAGCCTAGTGTAATGTTGACTACTCATACCAGCTCATGGCCCATATGTGTACTGCAAGTCACCATCACAAAGAAGAGCAAGGCAGCAAATAATCCATATCTTTATCTCATGTGAAAAAGTCTACACAAGCCAAAAGGGGAGGGACCAGGTAGTCCAAGTGATATCAATATGTCACATCATCAATTACCCCATACACAGCCAGGAGCAGACACTCTCCTCCCCTTGCTTCTCTTGGCGGTGCCGGAGCCGGGGTGGAGTGCAGTTTGTGTGTCTGTTTATTGTTAATGGCCATGTCTGGGACCTGTATTGGTTCTTTGTGTCTTCTATTTTGTAAAACTCCATAAAATAGAATTTATAAAGAAAAAATGTAAGTGACAGATTGCTGTGGCTGAAAGCAACAAAATTTCCTAGTGTGTGGCCAGTATAAAAAAGATCAGCCTTATATCAATAAAGCTATAATTGTTAAAACTTTGTTTCTATGTTTCTTATTACAAGCAATATCTGATTATTAACTTTGCTCCTTCTCATCAGAAAACCCTGCAAAAATAACAGCAAAATGCAGCAAAAATAAAAAAAACCTGTAGGGCAGGGGCCTTGAATTAAAATTCAAGGAGGTCCAATCACTAAAATGTTCTTCTGGCCGAGGTCCGAATAGGGTGTGCCCATCAGTGTGCCCCCCTTACATTAGGTGTTGCCATCAGAGTGCAGTATTACATCATGTAATGCCATCACATCAGGTGTGCCCATCAGAGTGCTCCTTTACGTCAGTTGTCCCCATCAGAGTGCCCCTTTACATCAGATATCCCCATCACAGTGCCACCTTACATCAGGTATTCCCATCAGAGTGCCCCCTTACACTCAAAGTACCCCTTTCCATCATATTTCCCCATTAGAGTGCCCCTTTCCATCACGTGCCCATCAGAGTGCTCCTTTCCACAGTATGTGCCCATTTGTGCCCCCTTAACATAACAGGTGCCTATCAGAGAGACGCTTAACATAAAATGTGCCTGTCAGAGTGCCCCTTAACATAAAATAAAGGGCATGCTGATGGGCACATTTTATGTTAAGGGGCACTTTGATGGGCACATTTATATTAAGGGGCATGCTGATGGGCAGATTTATATTAAGGGGCACTTTTATGGGCACATTTTATGTTAAGGGGCACTCTGATGGGCACATTCTATGTTGTGTCCATCAGAGTGCACCTTAACATTAACTGTGCCCATCAACACAACCCTTTAACAGTCAGTGTGCCCATCAGAGTGCCCCTGTAAGACTACACCCTACCTTGAGGGCAGACAGGAACTGCGCTGGGATCCTTGCTGAAGGATGCTTGTGTACAGGCAGGGAGAGGGACCTGGAGAGACAGTGAGCTTCAAGGGGCAGGGCGCATACACATGATGTCATGTTGCCATGACGACTGCCCTGCTCAGCAGCAGATCTGTCATTGCAGGCTGGCGGTCCAGAAGGGAGCGCTGCTTGGGTCGTTCTCGGACCGCAGTCTACCATTTAGTGACCACTGCTGTAGGATAAAATGCCTGTAAATATTCTTACCTTTCTACCAGGTTCTGTACAGCAGGGGTGATGTCACGCTCCTTCCGATGAGATACCTGGGAATGTTTAGTACCCAATTCCTGTGAGGTGATGCTGAAATACAGTGTAGGATCATCTTTTTGTGCTGGTAGGAGCATCCCGTCATCCTCGTCTAGGTGCCATGGGCAAAAGCTAGGTGAAAGGTAAATATATTCATTGCATTTTTTTACTCTACGGTTTAAAAAATTTTTTTATCAAGCTTTTTGGCATGGGCGAAGGAGGCATGATAAAAAAAAAATTTACATTTTTTTGATGTGATAGGGAGGAAATGCTCTGGGTAGAAATACACTGAAAACTGAGAATGTGCTCTAGCTGCCAACACTGCTCTGCAAAATCCCCAACTGCAGTGGGGCCATGGGCAGAAGCAGAAGAAAGAGGACAGCAAGATCAACCAGGTTTTTTGCAGAATACAGAAAATGAATCCCATAGTGATTTGGTGAGTATGACTATCATGTAAGGCAGCATTTACGGATCATTTTTAATGATGTGGATTTAATGATACTGTAAGTATAAGTACCCCAGCAGTAAGGCGATCTCCATTAGGAGAATGCTTTCCTCGTAAACAATGCCATATGTCTGACATCCTTGAGAAAATAATGAAATCATAATAATTTCAATGTTGATGGAAAGCACTTATAGTCAGTTGTAGTTCTGCTTCATTCACACTGAAGTGGCCCTTCGTGGGAATGTCCATGCTGCGTAGGGCGGAAGATGCCGCACACCATAGGGAATCGTAGAGCTCTCATTGGTTCATCCACATGGTGGGAGGGGCTACACGTGATAATGTCAACGTACTTTGTCCCAGATGTGTTTTTAGATAGAGGTAATGTCCACTTTAAGAACATCCATGTACATTATTTTAATAAACTTGTATTTTAGCAATAATTTTAATGATTTAGATTCTTTAATAGGGTAAAGAACATTGCAATGCAGTTACCAATCATAAGACCTATTTCATTGTTTAAATCTGATCATAAAGGAAATCAGATGGGTTCATATGAATTACGTCACACTGCGCAAAAAAGTCATTTTAAAATGCTCAATTAAATATGCTGGGCATATTATTATTATTATTATTATTATTATACAGTATTTATAAAGCGCCAATAGTTCGCTCAGCACTGTACATTACAAAGGGGGACAGAACATGTGACAGAACAATACCAATACAATGCAAAACATGAGGGGATCGAGGGCCCTGCTCTTTCAAGCTTACAATCTAGGAGGGAGGGGATGGTGGCACAGGAGGAGATAGCTGTGGGGGATGGAGTGGTAGGAAGAGTGGAGGAGGTCGGCAAGTTAGCAGGGGGCGGGGTAGGCTTCCCTGAAGAGATGGGTTTTCAGGGTGCGCCTAAAGGAGAGGAGAGTAGGTGATAATCTGATGGGTTGGGGCAGGGAGTTCCAGAGGATGGGTGACACCCTGGAGAAGTCCTGGAGGCGGGCATGGGAGGAGGAGACCAGGGAACTAGAGAGAAGGAGGTCTTGTGAGGAGCGGAGTGTGCGTGCTGGGCGGTACTTGGATATTAGGTCAGTGATGTAGTTCGGGGCAGTATGGTGGACAGCTTTGTACGTCAGCGTTAGGATTTTGAATTTGATCCGTTGCGCAATCGGAAGCCAGTGGAGGGATTGGCGGAGGGGGGTGGCGGAAACGGAGCGGTTGGAAAGGTGAATGAGTCTGGCAGCCGTATTCAGGATGGACTGAAGCGGGGATAGCCAGCGGCGAGGCAGGCCAGTGAGGAGGGAGTTGCAGTAGTCGAGTCGTGATATGATGAGGGAGTGGATGAGCTGTTTAGTGGTTTCTGGAGTTAGGAACGTGCGTATTTTGGCGATGTTGCGGAGGTGGAGTCTGCACGAGTTTGTTAAAGAGTGGACTTGGGGCTGGAAGGATAGGTTGGAGTCCAAAATGACACCAAGTACTCTGGCCTGCGGGGCGGGTTTGATGGTGGCGTTGTTGGACATGATGGAGAAGTCAATGGGGGGTGGTGTCCGGGCTGGAGGGAAGACAAGAAACTCGGTTTTGGAGAGGTTCAGTTTAAGGAAGTGGAGCGACATCCAGTCTGATATGTCGCTCAACAGGTGTGTGATTCGGGCGGAGACCGAGGGGGTGAGGTGGGGGGTTGAGAGATAGATTTGTGTGTCGTCGGCATAGAGGTGGGTAGTTGAAGCCGTGAGAGTGTATGAGTTGGCCAAGGGAGGAGGTGTAGATGGAGAAGAGAAGGGGCCCGAGGACAGAGCCTTGAGGGACCCCAACAGAGAGGGGGAGTGAGAGGGAGGTGGTGGCATTATAGGTAACGCTGAAAAAGCGTTGTGACAGGTAGGATGAGAGCCAGGAGAGAGCAGAATCTCTGAGGCCGAGGGAGTGTAGTTTTTTTGAGGAGGAGGGGGTGGTCGACTGTGTCAAAGGCCGCAGAGAGGTCAAGGAGTAGGAGCACTGAATAGTGGCCATTAGCTTTGGCGGTTAGCAGGTCGTTGGAGAGTTTGAGTAAGGCAGTTTCGGTGGAGTGTAGGGGACGGAAGCCGGACTGTAGGGGATCGAGGAGGTTGTTGTCGTTGAGGTGAGAGCATAGGCGGGCGTAGACTAGGCGCTCGAGGAGTTTAGATGTAAATGGGAGCAGGGAGATGGGTCTGAGGTTGTTCGGGTCATTGGGGTCCAGGGAGGGCTTTTTAAGTATGGGGGTGATGTGTGCATGTTTCAGAGGGGAAGGGAAAGTGCCGGAGGAGAGGGAGAGATTGAAGATGTGGGTGAGGGAGCGTAGGATGGAGGGGGAGGGAGGTTGTAGGAGTTGTGAGGGGATAGGGTCAAGGGGGCAGGTGGTGAGGCGGGCATCAGAGAGGATCTTGGAGACTTCTTCGATGGTAGTAAGGTCAAAGGTGCGGAGTGTTGGGGGAGCTTCAGTATGAGGAATGTAGGGTGGGGTGGGAGAGGAGGTCAGAGCAGTGGTGGGGCCGTGGGAGAGGGGTGTAGAGGGGGTAGCTGAGTGAGGGGGAAGGGGGTTGGAGGGAGTTTGAGCAGCGACGAAGTCCCTGTGGGTTATGTCGAGGGGGAGGGGGGATGAGGGGGTAGCTGTGTGAGAGGGGACGGGTTGAGAAGGCGTGTGAGTTGCGGCAATGTCCTTGCGAATTGTGTCAATCTTGTTTTTGAAGTGATTGGCAATCTCAAGGGCAGTGAGTGAGGTGCTGGGTGGAGGTGGGGGGGGGTGGCGAGAGTAGAGAGTTGAAGGTGGAGAAGAGTCGGCGAGGATTGGAGGAGAGGGCCTTGATGAGGGTCAGGAAGTAGGCTTGTTTGGCAGTATGGAGGGAGGAGGTGTAGGTGTGGAAGGCAGATTTGTATCGGGTGAAGGCTTGTTGGGATTTGGTTTTGCGCCATAGTCGCTCCAGGGCACGACTGTGTCGTTTGAGGGTTTTGGTGTGATCAGTCTGCCAGGGCTGGAGCGGTCGGGGTCTGATGTTGCGTGTGGTTAAAGGCGCTAGTGAGTCAAGGGCTGTTGACAGCGCATTGTTGTAGGCGGTCATAGCCAAGTCGGGGCAGGACAGGGGGAGGATGCGGTCATGGAGTTGATCAACTGCGGAGTGGAGGGAGGCAGGGTTAAGGTTGCGGAGGTTACGGCTGGTAGTAGTGTGACATTTGGAGGGGTAGGCGTTGGAGGATGAGGAGATAGAGAAGGTAATCAGGTTGTGGTCAGAGAGAGGGAAGGGGGTGTTAGTGAGGTTGTGGGGAGCGCAGCGGTTGGAGAAGACAAGATCAAGGATATTACCGTCGGAGTGGGTGGTGGATTGTATGCACTGTGCAAGTGCAAAGGAGGAGGTTAAGTGGAGGAGACGGGCTGTGTCCGGGTTGTCGAGGTTGACAGGGATGTTGAAATCCCCAAGGATGATAGTGGGTAGCTCAGAGGAGAGGAAGAAGGGGTAGCCAGGAGGAGAAGTCTTCCAGGAAGCGGGGTATGGATCCAGGAGGCCGGTATATCACAGCAATCTTCAGGGGGGTTGGGGAGAATAGTCGGACGCAGTGGGCCTCGAAGGAGGAGAAGGATAGGGAGGGGGGGGTTTGGGAGGACTCGGAAGGTGCTCAGCGGTGACAGGAGCAGGCCAACCCCACCACCTTTACGACCGTTGGGCCTGGGTGAGTGGGTCCAGGTGAGACCGCCGTAGGAGAGTGCAGCAGGGGAGGTAGAGTCAGTGGGCTGGATCCAGGTTTCCGTAATCGCCAGGAGGTTGAGGGAGCGGGAAACAAAGAGGTCGTGGATGGCGGTAAGCTTGTTGCACACCGATCGGGCGTTCAGGAGTGCACATGAAAACGGGGGGGAGATTTTAGGGAGCAGGGGGACAGATACTAAGTTGCGGGGGTTGCGGCAGGACGTGGAGGCGGGAGGGTTTTGTGCGGGGGTGAGGGAGGTGGTGGAGGGCCAGGATTCGGGGAGATGTCCCCCGCGGTTATGAGGAGGAGAAGGGTGAGAAAGGTGGCATGGGAGCGGGATGTGCAGGAGCGTGAGAAACTACTAGTGGAGGTGTTCGGGTCAGTGGGAGAGTGGAGTAATAGGAGGAGGTGGTGGGTGCCATAGAGGGGTGAGGGAAGCAGTGAGGGCACAATATACAAATGTTTGGGAGGAGCAGAGGATATAGTGAATGGATTTTGGGAACAGAGGAGAGGAAAATGAGAAGGAGGAGTGGAAGAGGCAT